AGATTGAGCCGATTAGTGAGGTTGGAGCTATTCAGCAGATAAGAACTTCAGAGTGATCGGAAATAACTCCGTTAGTGACGGAGGTTGCTGAGCTCCAATGCTCTCGTCCAGACCGCTTGCTTCGTTGGTCAAGCCCAATTTTGGAGAGGTGCTGATTCGACACAGTTGTTCGGTGTTACAGCCAGATGCTTGTTCAATACTTGAGAGTGCTTCCTCTCAATCCAGTCTAGTGGGAAATGAACAAGCGACTTCAGAGGAAAGCAGAAACACTACAGGGCTGGGGAAGGATACAGAGAAGAATCTTGTTTGTAACGGGCCTGCCAACCCCCACCCTCGGCCGAAGGCAGCCCTGGGATCGCCAGTTGCTTTGTCTGGGTTGACACAAAACTCTGTTGTTTGTCCAACTGTTGCCAAGTGACACTTTGACATTTGCATAGCCAGGAAGTGCTGGGAAATCGAGCTTCGACATTTCCTTGTATTATTTTTAAGTAATTAGGGATAAAAAAATATTTTTAGATTTCTGGTAGTCATTATTTAGTGCAGCTCTGAGTTTAACCATGTAAATAAAGCCCTATTTCCTGGTTGCCTGGAATGAGGACTTTGTGACATGTACTAGCTCCTGGAAGACTAAGTGGATTTCTGTGTTTTATGAGGCAAATTCCAGTATTCTTGGGTAGCAATGAATTCTTCATGGAAGAGAATTCCGGAGGGAACATAATATGGGAAGAATTACTCACTATTACCCATCATTACACAGAGAAGTATAGTGCTTTTCTTGTTTTAATTGTTTAAAATGTACACAGATTGGTAATTTATATGGAATCAGAAAAATCCCGACTTCATTCTGGCAGACTGTGTAGTAAAAGAAGTCGCACGTTGTTTTGGACCTAGTCTTGCCGGGTTACTCATACTCTTGTTTTACTTTAGTATACTGAGTATATTTCATCTTTGCATCAAGTCATATTTCATTAGGGGAGTAGTATTATGTGCCTGCATATTCCTTGTCTAGTGTTCTCAAATGTAGACACAATTTATTTTACTGTGTGTTGTTCTCTTTTATAAGATCTAGTGAGGTTTTGCTTAGGGAAGGAAGCTTGGTTATACTCCTTTCTGGTGTGCACCTGCTTTGTGGCAAGCACAGAGGAGGGGCTGAAAGCTGACGATGTTGGTCCCTCTTCACCAGAATGTGGCTGCAGAATAGTCATGAGCGAGGGTCCTGCATGGGAACGAGGACAAACAGAAGAGGGTATCTTCATTTTTTTTTTTAGATTTTTGCCATATGGTGCGTGTGCTCACCAGAGAGAGGGAAAGTGAGAAATCTCCCTCCAGTGGGGATAGCCACGCCATAATCCCTTCTCTGTTTTCATCTCAGAATGCTGGGTGTACACATGCACTCCTCACACCTTTCAAGCTGCTGGGTCCGGGACTTGAACTGTGCCGTCGGCCACATGGGATCCAGTCACCTTTCCCACCACTCTACCTCCTGGCCCCAGGAAAGATTGCAGTCACTTAGAAACATACTCTGTTCGCTAAAGCTTTGCATTGAAAACATCGACTTGTCTACAGATTCAGCAGAAACACCAGTGAATTAGCATCTTTGGGCCGCTGTGTTGGGAACTTTCAGAGCTGAAGTTTCATATGCTAGTCCCTTGGCAGGTTAAAAAAATGCTTAGTTTATTTGACATATTGCATAACTTAACAGTTTCCGAAAAAAACACTAATTGGCTTATCAAAAACATTCTCTAAATGCACAGCACAGGCAAAATCATATTCAAAGAAATCTACTGCAAGAAATTCAATGCAATGTGATTTAAACACGCCTCTAAAATGCAGGGCTCGAGACTGCAATTTTCCCCTCGATTAAGAAGACTTGATCTTGAAGCTGAGGCAGAGCAACAGCATTGATGGTTCTGTGGCTACTCTCCCCGGTCCTCCGGCTTCTGAGTGCACTTGTCTGTGTTTGGGTGGAACAAGGAGGTGATTATCTGTTCAGCACGTGACCTCTCAGTTGCGAGATACACACAGGCTTTTCTCATCTCCGTGAGGTCATCTAGAGAGGCCCTCCACTCAACTGAAGTTTGGACGTGGTGAGTGGGGCGGCCCAGTCCCTCCTCTGCCTGCGTCCAGCTCCACGTCCACTCCTGCGGGTCTCGGCTGCTCCGTTCTGTGCCAGCTCTGCTGGAGGCTCCCGTTTCCCCATGGCGTGGCTCTCTCCTGGGCCTGCTCACCATGACGCACCTGCTTCCTCCAGGGCAAGTGACAGGAGGGAACGAGAGCCACAGAGAAAGAAGCAAGAGCATGCCCACAGCATGGACGCAGACTTTTCTAACCTGATCTCAAAAGTGGCAAGTCCTGGGGACCAGCAGATGGTGTGCTGGTTAAAGGCACTGGACTCTCACGTGGTCAACTGCAGTTCAGGTCCCGGACCTGGTGGCTTGCTTTCTCACTTTCCCCTCACACTTTCCCTCTCCTTGTTTCTCTCTGGTGAGTGTATGTGCTCTATAGCAAATTAAATAATAGTAAATAAATAAGATGAAATAGAATAAGCAATTCTTTAAACGGTAGGGAACGCTCTTACTTCCATATTCTACTGGCCATAGGCATCAAACCTGACACAGCAGGGAGACTGCCGGGCGAGGGGAGGCCAGGAGGGGCCATTGGTGGCCATCTGGAAGGATGGCTGCTTATGTGGGCAGCTTCCCAGTCAGAGTTTGTTGTCCATGCTGTATCTGTAAAAGGCTGGGTAAGAACGCGACACGGAGCCGAGCTCGCCTCAGTCCTGCCTTTGCTTATGGGCACGTGGAGCACTGAAGCTCTGTCTTACTGTGCTCGCAGTCTGATGGTTGTTATTTTGTTAAAGAATTGTTTGATTTAACTTTATTTATTTATTCATTTGCTTATTTTTAATTTTGACCAGAGAGGGACAGAAAGAGAGAGAAAGTGAGAAAGTAAGACGCCATGTCCAGGACTCGAACCACAGTCAGCCATGTGGGAGACCAGCGCCCTCAGCCACCACACCACCTGCTGGCCCCGCAGCCATAGTTTTGAATACAGGATTAGACATTGCTGAGCTGATAACTGACCACGCATCCCAGAAAATGCGGGTTTTCTAGCTGGCGGCTGACGCATAGATCAAGCCAGTGGTGTGAGGTATCCACATGTTTTATGTACCCTTAAAAGGGGTTTACTATTCCCAGAACCTTTTTGGCAGTTTTAATATGTGGGACTTGGATCCCCCTGATCTTCACTCTGTCCAAGTTACTCAGTATTTTCCCCTCTTGAATGGTCTCGTTGGCTGCAATTCTGTGCAAGTGCAGGAGTGCAGGCACGTGTGCTCGCTCATCTGATGGACTTGAGCTGCCCGGGACGCCAGGTCCTGACAGTGGGTCGTACGGCATGGGGAAGTCGCATCTGGTAACAGGACACACCCAGAGCATCCCGTTGCTTTCCTTCACGGGTTAACATCCTTTGGATATGTTTATACATGGCCGTGGAAGGAACATGATGAAAGCAACTTACAGCCCTAGAAAAAACCTTGCGTTTGTGCAAGGGTGCTTTAAGGACCGGAGGAAGGTGTCCCAGCCATCACGTCAGACACGTTGCGCTGTATTCTTCTCCTTACTCTGTCTTCAAAGGTACTAGGAACTTGGCGTCCCGGAGCAACACAAATGGAGACTTCAGGTGGCCGGGGCACCCCTGCGTTGACGCCTCGTATGTGAAGCTAGATAGTGATACGAGTTTACCAGGAATGCAGTACCTGCTCGTGATGACTGACGGATGTTTTTATTCTCTAGAGGAAGGATTGAAACAACTGAGCCCTTTCCAAGGTAGACAAGAACTTAACAGGATCGGAGGCAAAACCATGAGCTCTCAGGGCCTGGGAAGGCAGGTGTTAACCTCAGGAACTTAAAAGCAGACTCAACTCCTGTCTGCCTCCCATCATAAACGTCGGCGACCCAGTCCGCATGTATTAAGCCTGCACCTTGCCGTGTAATGGGTGTCCCAGGTTAGATTTTAGTTTAATCCATCAAGTTTGTCCTCGGGCAGGAGGGATTCCGTGGTGCACCCACTCCGGGGGGAACTGTGCCAGCACCAGCCAGTCGTGACGGGCCAGGCAGAGCTCTGGGACTCGTTTTTCAGGCTATCACATTCCCGCCTTCTTTTCCGTTCTCCTGATTGCAGCTAATTATCGTCCTCACTAATCTAACACACAGCCCAGAAGCTTCGCCCTTCGCCTGGATCTGCGTTTCGCATTCCCTCCTGGTTTTCATTTCAGTTCCCTCTCCTCCTTCTATTAATCAATTCCTAGGTGAACAAAAGTCTAATCTTTCTAGCTCACTTCTGAATTTTCACTCTCTGTTGGCAAGATTTTCTTACCTGTCCTGGTGGGAGATTTGGGCAAAAGTCAGACCTCCCGCTGTGCGGGCACCTGCCTGAGCCCGGAAGGGAAAATATGCAGCCGCGACCGATTTACCCAGCAGGCTGGGCGGTGTGGGGTTTCCTCTCCTCTTCTTTCAAGCGCTCATGGGCTAGATAACCCCACATAAAGTCATGCACGACTGATACGTATGTTTAATTCAGAAGCATTCTGTGTAAAGATAAAACAGAAATTTCATCTTAAATAGAGCTATTCACTCGTGCCTCAGGGGCTGGCCAGGAACGAACTCCAAGTGGGGGGCTGTGCAGCCCCTGTGAGTGCAGGCTCCTGCGGCCACACCCGCATCTCCACAGGCCGGGAGGACGGCTTCAGAGGCTCTCATACCGTGAGAAACACAGGCCCGTGTTGTGCGCTGAATCTACGAAACTGTATTCGACATTTGACAAGGAGCCAGCTCGGTCCCCTGTGGTTCGAAGGACACGCTCGGGCTCCTGCTACGGGTAGGCTCTGACAGCGGTTTGGGACGCGTGGGAGCCTGGAGGACCACCCCCAACCCGCCGGCTCCGAGCAAGGCCATGGCGAAGCATCACAATGGAGTATCTGTGAGGTCACTAGCACGTGGAGCCGTTTGACTGTGAGGGCATTGATGAAACTCAACCGGCAAAAGAGCCCAAGACCCGAGAGTGTATGGTATGGCCCCAACCACATTTGTAACAAGCCAGACGAATAATCATCTTCAAATCCAGACTTAATTGGAAACAGCCTTTTCTAAGGATGGAGGGTATTTTTGTTTGGGGGAGAATGGCAGCGGCTGGACCACTGAAGCAGGCCCTCGGCGGTTTTAACTTTTACAAAACGAAATACAACAGAACTGGCTGGTCAGCGCTCCAGTTGTCACTGCTGCTGCTCCTCTATATGAACCCCTGGGCTAAGTCTCCCTCCTAGTCTATGAAATCTTTGACTCTTCAGGGCATGAAGACTTGGTATAAAAATGGAGTGGAGATGGGACCAGCAGGTAGCCTAATGGCTATGCCACCCACGTAGTCGACCGTGGTTCGCATCCCGGACCTGGTGTTTTAAAACTCATGCTGGGCACGTGTGCGTGCGTGCCCAAGATCCCTAGAGGAGAATGGAGGAGAAGGGATTGCGGCTTGGCCATCCCCCTGGGGGGTGATTTCTCGCTTTCTGTCTCTCTGTCTCTCTCTGTCTGTCTGGCGAGTGCACGTGCCCTATAGCAAAAACACCAAAAAAAAAAAATGGAGTGGAGAAATGGAGTGTTCTTTCTTTTTTCTTAATATCTAGCTTCATTTTAAAGATTTTTTAAAAGATTTTTTTTAAAGAATGATTTACTTTATTTTATTTATTATTATCATTATTTTAATTTGCTTTGGGTATGTACACTTTCACCAGAGAGAGAGAGAGAGAGAGAGAGAGAGGGAGGGAGGGAAAGTGGGAAAGAAGCCAGCCATCAGGTCTGGGACTCGAACCATGGCTAACCATATAAGAGTCCATCTCCTTATCCACCATACCATTTGCTGGCCTTTCTAGCTTCATTTTAATTAAGTGTGTTTATTTCTTCCACGGATGAGAGACACGGATGGAAGCATGCCTCCGTCAGGGTCTCAGTACTGCCATCCCCCAGCTTCAGCCCGCTCCTGACCGTGGGCGCGCTTGCCCGCACGCTCGGAGGTCTCCATACACGACCTGGAGCCGCACAGGGGCAGCTCTGCGGGGCCTGGGTGACTGCCATGCCACCGTCTGGCCTGCTAGCTTCACTTTACAGCCTGTCATTGCTCATTCCATATCTTCTCACTGGCACTTCAGAAATATCACCCCTGGTTCCGCCTGGGAAACCAGAAGGGACGAGGTCCCGTGGCTGTGACCTTAGGGCTAGGCCACTATTCCGTGGTAAGAGACTGGGGACAAGTCCTGACCGTGGCCTTCACTTCCCTGTGCCCAGTCTCGCGCTCGCCTGCTTGGGCACATTTGCCCCTGCCTTGCGCTGCCACGTGCCAGCCTCCTCTTCGTCCTGTCTGCATCGCTCCAGCCAGCCCAGGCCTTGCTGGCTCTGTCCTGTTCACCACGGCGTCCCTGGATGTTGCTTCTGGGTGACACGGGGCACAGGGAAGGCTCCGTGAATGCCAAGCACACTGCAGGGATTTGGTCGGCCCAGCTCCCCGTCAGACCAAGTGCAGTGTGTTCCTAACCTGGTCAACCACACACGGGACTGCTGAAGACACCGGGGCAAAGCCTACGCGAGATTCCACCAACCGTGCACGGGACTGCTGAAGACACCAGGGCAAAGCCTACGCGAGATTCTACCAACCACACACGGGCCTGTTAGGACACTGGGGCAAAGCCTACGCAAGATTCCACCAACCACACACGGGACTGCTGAAGACACCAGGGCAAAGCCTACGCGAGATTCTACCAACCGTACACGGGCCTGTTAGGATGCTGGGGCAAAGCCTACATGAAATTTTACCAAACAAAGGTCACCAAGGTGGTTTGGCCAGCTCCCCTGTGGAACACTCTCAGAAACGCAAGGCGTATGAGTATAGGCCACGACATCCTCAAAGGAAAAAAATCTCTGTGATCAGATCGTATCAGTCTTCTGGTAGATATCCAACTCTTTCTTTTCTTCTTCTTCTTCTTTTTTTTTTTTTACGTGTTTTGCCATAGGGGAGGTGCATGCACCAGAGGGAGACAGATAGAGGGAATGTGAGAAATTCCTCCAGTTTCCTCCTGGGACTTTGGGCGCACATGCACTCAGCATGCTTTCTAAGCTGCCAGATCTGGGACTTGAACTGCAGTCAGCCATGTGGGAGTCCAGCACCTTAACTACCATGACACCTGTTGGTCCTTCCGATTCTTTTTTCTTGACCTACGAGGCCCTAAATGGGCTGCTGCCCGCCATTCTCAGCTTATCGCCGGGCACGTTCATCTACCGCTCTGAGCCCCAGACGTTTAGGACTTCTGCCTTTGTCTCCTCTGCCTGGGACATTCCACACACTTTGCCTCCTTCGTGTCGTCCCGGTTTTGGTTTAATGTTTCCTCCTTGGTTTGGCTGTTTTCACTTGCTGTGTTTTCCCCTTTGCACAGGTACAGTTCCGTGAATTTGTATTTAAATCGTATGTGTTTACTTAATTATATTTGTCTCCTGGTAGAATAACCTCTGCTAAAGCCAGAAGCTGACTGCACCCCGCATTTCCATATCTAAAGCAATGCCTGACATTCGGGAGACTCAGTAAGGAGTCGTAGAGCTGGCAGGTGGTGTGGTGGTCGAGGCGCTGGACTCCCACATGGCCGACTGCGGTTCGAGTCCCAGACCTGGTGGCTTGCTTTCTCACTTTCCCTCTCTCTCTCTCTGGTGATTGCATGTGTCTTGTAGCAAATTAGAAAAATAACAATAAATAAGGACATTGTGTCATGAAGAATGAACGGATGACCATGGGGTGACTCTACTCTAGGCCTTTCTCAAAGTGACCTTCCTGACAAAGTAGCTCTTTGGGAAAAAACTGTACTCTGTCTGACAGGATGAATTACATTTGCCTGCGGAATTGGGAACTGTGCTGAAACCCTTCTTGTACAAACCCGCTGAGAGCCACGTGGAGGATCTGCAGGTAACTGAGAGACCACGCCTGCAGCCATGGACTCGGACCTCTGTGTGGAGTGCTCGCTCTCTGGGGACGGTTTGTACACAACAAGTGAAAGTCAAGTGAAGAAGCGGAGTGCGGCATTCATCCCCGTCCGCGTCCGAGCTGAGCTGTGAGTGCTCTTTCCTTGCGTTTTCTGACTGTCTTCCGTCCTCGGAGACCTGCAGTTCTGTTCTGCAGTTCTGCTCCAGCTCCGAACCAGGTCGCCCTCCTGCACCACACACTGATCCTCAACTATTTTCCACGGCGTTGCCAAAGCGGTGTATTTCTAAGCTCAGAAGTCTCAGCGTGTCAGGTCAGGTCATGTCGCTCCCCCACTTAAACGCTTGCAGGGCTCCCACTATTCTCAAGATAAGGGCCACGCTCTAACACACAGCTACAAGGGCTGCCTGACCGGACCTTGGCCAGCCTGACCGCACCCCACCGTGCCTGGCCTTCGTGCTTTGCAGCGGTCACGGGGTTACGTGTGCGCTTCTCGGAGCGGCCCTGATCTCACTTGTCAGATGGTTGTGTCACAGGGGACTCCTCCCCGGAGCTCCCACTCATGTCAGGGCTCACAACATCATTAATCTGGGCTTTGAAGTATGACCAAAGGCTTTCTACAGCCCAGGAGTACATGTTTGTACGTACAGAGTAAGAATTTGAGGCCAAGGAGAAAGGTAGGGGGCCCAGCCTGGCTGGAAGAGTATCAGGAACCGTGACCCAGAAAGTAGCTACGCCTGCTCACTGAGACGGCGGTGCTGTGTCATGGAGTAGAGACTTACTCCTCGGGCCCTAGGGAGTCGGGATGTTTTCTGTACAAGGGTGTGGCATCGACTGACCGGGTAACGGGGTGAAAGAAGGACCACAGAGGTGAGAGCCTGAAGAGGTAAAGACAGCAGGAGACCATTCCAGTAATCCAGGTGACTGATGATGGAGCCCAGGCTGAGACGGGTGGGTGCAGAGAAGATGTGGCAGCACTGTGGAAGGGGCACGAGCAGCCCTTACGGTGGGAGAGGACTGAGCAGTGGGGAGGACGCAAACACAGACATGCAGGAGGATGCCAAGTGGAGCGTCCTGAGCAGCAGCCCCTGCCCTGGATGCTGCTCAGTACACTTTGGAGGAGTGTGGGCCTCCCTGTGCACCACAATGTAAAAGGACGTTCAAAATGCAGCAGATCGCGGGAAGGGCCTGGAAGGGCCTAGAAACCTTGATGGATGAGAAGTGGATTGTTGAAACCACAGTTGTTCATTTTGGTGCACACACACACACGTATGCGCACACATGTGCATGCACAATCACATGCACACACATATGCACACATGCACCTGCACACACACACACATATACATGCACGCACAAGCAAAGGGAGATGTCATGGTTGCCTTCGCCTGTTTGAAGACTGCTCTACAGAAGAAGTGTTAGAGCTCTCCAGGGCATGACGAAGTCAACAGCGAGCCAACCCTGCAAGCCGAGCGCACTGGGCTCCACAGGAGGGACGCTCTCTCACAGAGCTGTAGGCTGCTGTGTCCACTAACAAGCTTATCTGCACAAATGGCCAAGAGCAGAGCGAAAGGCCCTGTCGGGGCTCGCAGGGAGGGCGTGGGGGTCAGATGGGAAAGCGCCCAGCCTCGGATCTCAGGCTGCCTTCCACCACGCCCTCACTCGCGCCATCGTTTAACCATGAGCAGTACCAGGAGCACACCGGGCACCTGGGCAGGAGGAGGGCGTGTGTTAGGAGACAGCTCTGCGGCCCGGGAGATGGGTCTGGTTACTTGGCGCCCCTGGAGTGCTTGCAGACCTCTGCTGTCTGCTCACACTGGGTCCTTCTCTTCCCAGCAACCACGGGGTTGTCCTCCGGGCTAACACAACAAAAGGGGCCAAGATGGCCGAAGCGGGCTCTCCACTTCGGCCCCTGTGTCCCGGACGTGTGGTAGTCAGGGAATGCCGCAAGCACCAACTCTTCCTTTCTTCAGTGCTCTCAGACATGGAGCTCGGCAAGGCCGTGCTCGGGTCTCTGTCTCTGTCTGCTCTTGTTCTAGTTCCCATCTCCGCTTCCTCTTTCTCTACCCAACTCACATGTGCGTGTGTGTTCATAGGCTTGTTAGCCCATGATAAATTAGAAAAATGCCTAATTCTTAACAAAAATACCAACGATAACAAAGACTTCATAGTTTATGTAATTAGAGATAATATTTTTCTATGAATTACTATGGCCAGATCTCAAGACAACCCTGTGAGGTGGTAATCTGAAGCTTGGAGAGACGAAGAAAATTGCCCAAGTCTCCCAGCTGGTAAGAGGCAGAGTCGAAGCTCTGAGGTCCGACTTCAGAGCCTCGACTTGCAGTCACTAAGCTATCCTATCTGCCCCTTCTGCCGTGGGCCTCCAGCAACTCTAACTCAAAGGAAATGGTCCTCCTGGGATTTGGGGCACACATGTATCCGTGTGATTTTCAAGCCACCAAGTTCAGGACTGGAACACGATCGTCCCTGTGGGAGTCCAGTGCCTTGACCACCACAGCGTTGGCTAGCCCCAGCACTCAACGTTTTTAAAGCTTGTTTTACTTTATTCACGATAGAGCGTGCCCGAGAGAGAGGAGCACCCTGGACGAGGCCTCGTCATAGCACGACCCACCCCAGCCTGCCAGCCTGCCAGGACCCTGGGCACCACCTGACTTTTAGGCTGGCCTAGACAAACTAAAAACACAAATTGATTTTTTTAAAATAAAAAGAAATAGTCAATAAAATGATGACTTCACAATCCAAAAGCATGATATTTTAGGGAAAAACGCCCATGGTGAAAAATAGGCATGCGTGGAAAAGGGACCATGTGGGCAGCTCGGTGGCCTGGTGGCGAAGGCGTGGAGGCCCGGGTTGTGAGTGGCCGTGGGGGACCTTGAGAAATGTGCTGGGCGAGTGTGCGCGCGTGCTCAGAGTCCTGGGAGGACGGAGGTGCGGACGGGCCTGCACTTGACCCTGCCCTGGGGTGGGGGCTTCCTCCTCTCCTTTGCGCTGTCTCTGGAAAGCACGCATACCCTGTAACAAAAAGAAAAGCAGTATCCGAAGAGACAGCCCGATAGAGCAGTGAAGAGGAGACCTTAGAACATGTGCATGTCGCGTCTTCCGAGCTGCAGGGGAACGGTGTTCTATACCTCGTCGGCCTATCATTCAAGCAGGAAGGGAAAAAAGGACTCCTGTCTCTTGTCTCTGCCACAGGGGGTGTGCGCTCGCTACAGAGCGACGGAGGGAAGTGAGAACTCACTCCCCCGAGGGGGATGGACTCACTGCAATGCCTTCTCCTCCGTTCTCTCTCAGGGTTCTGAGCACCCACGTACAGACAGCCAGTGTGATTTTCAAGGTCCTGTGTCTGGGGCCCCAGACAGTGGGTGGCCATGTGGAGTCCAGCACCTTAACCACCGTGCCACCTGCCGGCCCCCAAGTGGGACATTTTAAAACAGCCCAACGGTTAAAACTATAGCAGTTGTGAACCTCAGTTGAGATAGTTAATAGAAAATGTATGTTAGCAACATTAAAAACTTACTCAAAAGAAGATATGGAAAACAAGAAACAGCACCGAGCAAAAAAAATAAGCATAGCTTAACATTTTGTAGTAATTATTTAGAGTATCATAAAACTTAAATCCCAAATAATTTTAGCATGTGGGAGCTGAGAAGAGAGGGGAGACAGGGCAGGAGGTTATAAGCACTTACGGAAGAGAAAGTTCAATATATAAGCATAGCTTTCCCATAAATTTTACACCTGTACACGCATGTGTTTACATTTGGAATGTAACTAGCACAGCAAAAACAGGAGGAAACCACCCACAGATTAAAGGGAAAACATGGAAGAAAACTAAGATGTAGAACAAATCTAACCGCCCCGATACGTTTGGCAGAGGGTGAAATAACCGGTGAGGCGGGGCCAGTGCAAAGCACATGGAAGTGATGACGGGGTAAGGAGAGAGGAAGGGATGAACGAGTGGCCTCCGTGACTCGGGAGCAGCAGCGGCACAGCGGCCCCACCCCTCGTTCTCCACCAGTCCTCCACGACGAGCAGCTGCACGGAGCGTCACCGTTTACCGGGGGCAGCAGCCCAGCTCGCTCTCCACTCACCCGCGACTCGCGTCTTCGGTCACGTTCCGGGTCACGATGGCAGTTATTTTTGTCAGAAAGCTTTTTATTTTCCTTCATTAATGTGTATTTCTTTATTGCTTGCTTTTGATAGCGAATTGCCACATACTGGTTAACGAAATTCAGCTGGGACCAGCAGTTGGCAGAATGGCTATGTCGCTGGACTTCCATGTAGCTGACTGCAGTACAAGTCCTGGTCCTGGTGCCTTAAACTCACACCGGGCATGTGTGCGTGTGTACCCAAGATCCCGAGAGGAGAATGGAGGAGAAGGGATTGCAGCGTGGCCATCCCCCCTGGGGGGTGATTTCTCGCTTTCTGTCTGTCTGTCTCTCTGGCGAACGCACATACCCTATAGCAAAACCTATCAAAAAAAAATAATAATAATAAAAAGAAAGAAAAAGAAATTCAGCTGGGTGCAATGGCGAGCACCTGAAGTCCCAGCTGCTCAGGAGGCTGAGGCAGGAGGATTGCCGGCCCAGCCAGTGGGGGCAGCAAAACAAGACCTGGTCTGAAAGGCGGAGCCACACACATGCCCGTGGTCCCCACTGTGTTGGAGGTGGAGACAGGGGATGTGGACACAGCCAGGTCTTGTCCCAAATCAACACACGCACAGGGGAGTTCAAGGGACCAGACATATCCGCAGGCAAAGCACGGGTGCTGACCCCTTCCCTCACCTTGTGGTCCCAGGAGTAATTCGTGTTAGCAGTCTGGTGTGTACTTCAGATCTGGAAAACAAACGTTTATTTTTAATACATTTATGCATGTTTACCTTTTATTTTCAACAAACTCTTATCATACTAATATGTTTATAGAAGTTGCTTTTCTGTCCCCTTGAAAATATTTCAACACTACTTCATTTGAGTTTGTATATAGAGCTACATTGGTCATTTACAGCTGCTTATAGCATATATTGAAATTTAATTTTACAAACCCTCGACATACAGACAATTATGTTTCTATGTGGTTTTGCTTTTTATTTACACTGCGCGGTGGACATCATTTAACAGTGCAGTTGCGTCTGACTTCTAAAGGCGACACACAAGGCAATGATCCCTAGCAACGTGATTACCTTGCAAGCTCCCCCGATCGGGCACTCTGTAACACCTGCAGTGCAGAGTTGCATGGCCACCGTGTGTGTGAGTGCACAGCGCATGCAGGGGTGCACCTGGCCCAGCTTCTGTGCAACGCAGAACGTGCAGGGCTGAGGCTGTGTTGAAGAACTCTGTGAACGGAGCGCGTGGGCCGGGTGCCTTTTCCCTGGACACAAGGCACACCCATTGGCAGCGTTCTGTGCACGCGAGTGAGATTCATGGTTCTCTGTGAGACTCCCAGCCAGGATTCCTATTACCATATACATGGGATCGTATCACCCCCTGTCCCTGATCCTTCATTGACTTCTTTTTAAAATTTTACTAGAGGGATGCAGCAGGGGCTGTAGTGGTTCAGATGCTAGAATCTCACATGGCTGACCATGGTTCGAGCACCAGACCTAAATAATAATAATAATAAATAAATTAATTAAATTAAATAAATAAGTTTTTAAAATTTTACTAGAGGGCACTTGAGCCTGCTGGAGAGAGAATGGGAGAGGGACAGAGAGAAGGCACCCCACGGGGGAAGTCACACTGCAACCTCACCTCCTCTTTGCTCCTTTGGTCTTTTGGGCCTTTGGACGTGCATACACGTGCCCAGTGTTCTGTTTGTGTTCAAGCCATTAGGTCTGAGGCTTGAACTTCGTGACTGCCCACATGGGATCCAGCCACCTGAGTTGGCATGCCACCAGCTGGCGCTTCCCTGACTTTACTAGTATCCCAAACCCCACACTTCTGTGGGCCATCTGGTGGCAGTGATAAAGGCAGCAGATCCCACGTGGCGAGCTGTGAGGTTGAGACCCCGACCCGGTGGCTTGAAGAACACGCTGGTGTGTGTGCATGTGTTCCCCAAATCTCAACAGCAGCTAATGGGATAGCTATAAATGCAAAATTTGTACTTGATTGACCAGGATTTAAATAAATTGGGCATGCTCTTTGAAGAAGGCCCAGAGGATGAGGGTACAGGATGAAGAGCAATGGTGACCAGTGTCAGGGACTGACATCTTCTGTTGGAAGGACGATCTCACGGATTGCACTGTCAGAAGATTTGGCCGCTAGCCGGAGGTGACGCTGGGTGGTGGAGCAGCCAGGGGGAACCGAGGGCACGACTCACCAACAGGGTTGCAGGGTGGGAAGGAGGAGCTCCGAAGGACTTCTTTTTTTGGAGAGGTTTTTGCTATAGGGCGTGTGCACTTACCAGAAAGACAGAGAGACAGAAAGCGAGAAGTCACCCCCTCCCAGGGGGGATGGCCATGCCACAATCCCTTCTCCTCCATTCTCCTCTTGGGATCATGGGCACACAGGCACATGCACCTGACATGAGTTTAAGCCATCGGGTCCGGGACTTGAACCGCAGTTGACTACATGGGAGTCCAGTGACATGGCCATTACGCTAACTGCTGGTCCCAGGACTTCTTGACATGAGTCCACTGGGCCTCAAAACCCCCTACGTGGTCTGCTGCCCCAAGGCCTGCGGTGGCGTTTATAGGCCCCATGTAACAGCTTGCACCAGCTAGGCCTTCACGGGTGTCCTTGGGAAAGTAAAGCAGACACTTGCTCGAGAACCCCAAAGAAGTTTTCCAAGCCCCAACTCTGCCCATTTAGCGTCCACCACAAGTGCAGAATCTCAAAGGTGGATTTCATAAATGGAAGACAGCTGACCATGCTGCTTTCACAAGTTGTTTTTTTCAAGACTTGGGTAAAACATAGTTTAAGCCCAGCCATCTTCAGTCTGGTGGACTTACTGTGATGTGTTTGAAGAAATCTCTGGATACTTATTCCCTTTGACCAGCTTGAGAGAGGAGGCGACCCACCTTCTTAAATTTGCAGTTTTTTTAACCTCATATGTAAATGGGAATAATAATAAGATTTACCCCATAAAGCTGGAATAGGTTATACTCATTCTTTTTTTTAAGAAGAATAACTTATTTTATTAGTTATTAATATTATTTTTTAAGTTGACCAAAGAGAGAGAGAACGGGAAAGTAAGAAAGCAAGCTGCCAGGTCTGGGACTAGAACTATGGTCGACCACATGGGAGTCCAGCACCTTAACCTCTATGCTACCTGCAGGCCCTGATTAAATTTGTTCTTAACCCCATAAGAGCATTTGATGCCCACTGATGCCCACAACACTTATTAAACGATACTGTTACATTCATTTTTCAGACTGGACTGAATCGATTGCCCAGCCAGCACATGGCCTGGTGTTTAAGGCACTGGGTCCCATGTGGTCAGTTCTGTTGCTCAAGGTCCTAGACTCAGTGGCTTGAGGGACACACCCGGCATGTGTGTGCCCAAAATCCTGGGAGGGGAATGGAGGAGGAGGGACAGCTGCAGGGCTATCACCCTTGGGGGGGGGGTGATTGCTCACTTTCCTGCTCTCTCTCCTCCTGGCAAACATACTCATCCTATAGAAAAGCAATTACATTAACAAAA